CTCACAGTATCGCTGGACCTGTCCAGAGGAGAGAGAACACGTGCTGGAAGGCTCTGCGTTGAACTCCGCGTCCTTCCCGGCTGGACTGTCTCATCCTCCCAACCTCCACTAACTCACCACTCTTTTAACCTCCACTCATTCACTACTCTCTACCGCACGACTCTCTTAGCTGCCCACGAAGGAGGCCCAGCCACATCGCATTCACGGTCTGGAGTTAAAACTCAAAGCTAGAGTTTTAGGAGACAGAAGGGATCCCAAGGACATGCCAAGCAGGCTCTTAGGAGCTCTCACTCTGCCGCTGCTGAGCGCACGCCCAACAATGGCCTCTAGAAGAAGCAGCAGCACTTCTCTCCTTCGCTCCACAGTGGCCGGCACAAATGCTACAGTGCTGGGGTGTGTGTTGCTTCTACTGCCGATTTGCTCCAGGGGGTGAACGAGAGCTGACTCTACCCTCTTTTTCACTCACCAGCTGTCAAATACATTTTTTATTTACTTCATTTATATTTCGACTTTCTCTTTGGTGGAGACGCAAAGCAGCTGACAAACTTCTCTCCTCCAATTAATCCTCACAACAACCCTGTGAGGTGGGTCAGGCTGAGAGTGTGCGACTGGCCCAAGGTCACTCCACAAGATTCCGTGGCAGATTTGAACCTGGGTCTCTGAGGTCCTAGTCCCACACTCTCGCCACTACACCATGCTGGCTCTCCTATCAGATATGCAAGAGAGGAAAGGTAGAAACAGATTACGGGCTGGACCCTACCAACCTCACTTAATTCCCCACCATACCATAAACCCCATCCCATAAACCTTTTGGTCCATGCAGATCCCATAATCCCCAGCATAGTCTTTTTGGTGACCCGAGAGGACCCTCCCCTCCTTTTTCACCAGTCCAATAGGAATCTTTTTTTAAAATCTCCAAAACGATACATGGCTCCACGTGGCAAGCTGGGAGCATCTCCTGGTCTGGTAGGACTGAAGGGTAGAGGTGTGTGTTTGGCGCCACAAGAATGCAGTCCCAAGGAGAAGGTGTTTAAACCACCTTCTCCAAGTGGTGAGTTCCCAAAAATTTGGGGAACCCCAAATATTTCCCAAATCCCAATACTTTTTGGCGCCGCAAGAATGCAGTCCCAAGGGGAAGGTGTTAAAACCACTTTCTCCAATTGGTGAGTTCCCAAAAATTTGGGAAACCCCAAATATTTCCCAAATCCCAATACCATACCGGTACTGGGATTCAGGAATATTGGGAAACGCCGATATTTTTCAGGTTCAATAAACCCGAACCTGAAAAATACTGTGGATTTTTTTGGACACCCCTACTGAAGGGCCTCTGGAATAAACAACAGATGCATTTTCATCTCTCCCACAGTTCTTGCACATGACCTCAGGTTGCCAGCAATGCAGTGTGGCTGAAACATATGGAAATTCTTGTTTCCTAAAGAACTGGTGACATACAATGAGAGCCAGTGTTATATAGTGGTTAGACAGTCAGACTAGGATCCAGGAGATAGATCAAGATGGGTAGCCTATTTAGTCTGTCTGTAGCAGAAGAAGGTTCGAGACTAGACTCTAGAAAATTTTCGATTTTTGGATTACACTCTGAAACAGAAATTAACTCCCAGAAGGACATTACTATCTCTTAGCTGCCCACGAAGGAGGCCCAGCCACATCGCATTCACGGTCTGGAGTTAAAACTCAAAGCTAGAGTTTTAGGAGACAGAAGGGATCCCAAGGACATGGCAAGCAGGCTCTTAGGAGCTCTCCCTCTGCCGCTGCTGAGCACACGCCCAACGATAGCCTCTTCTAGAAGAAGCAGCAGCACTTCTCTCCTTCGCTCCACAGTGGCCGGCACAAATGCTACAGTGCTGGGGTGTGTGTTGCTTCTACTGCCGATTTGCTCCAGGGGGTGAACGAGAGCTGACTCTACCCTCTTTTTCACTCACCAGCTGTCAAATACATTTTTTATTTACTTCATTTATATTTCGACTTTCTCTTTGGTGGAGACGCAAAGCAGCTGACAAACTTCTCTCCTCCAATTAATCCTCACAACAACCCTGTGAGGTGGGTCAGGCTGAGAGTGTGCGACTGGCCCAAGGTCACTCCACAAGATTCCGTGGCAGATTTGAACCTGGGTCTCTGAGGTCCTAGTCCCACACTCTCGCCACTACACCATGCTGGCTCTCCTATCAGATATGCAAGAGAGGAAAGGTAGAAACAGATTACGGGCTGGACCCTACCAACCTCACTTAATTCCCCACCATACCATAAACCCCATCCCATAAACCTTTTGGTCCATGCAGATCCCATAATCCCCAGCATAGTCTTTTTGGTGATCCGAGAGCACCCTTCCCTCCTTTTTCACCAGTCCAATAGGAATCTTTTTTTAAAATCTCCAAAACGATACATGGCTCCACGTGGCAAGCTGGGAGCATCTCCTGGTCTGGTAGGACTGAAGGGTAGAGGTGTGTTTTTGGCGCCGCAAGAATGCAGTCCCAAGGGGAAGGTGTTAAAACCACTTTCTCCAATTGGTGAGTTCCCAAAAATTTGGGAAACCCCAAATATTTCCCAAATCCCAATACCATACCGGTACTGGGATTCAGGAATATTGGGAAACGCCGATATTTTTCGGGTTCAATACACCCGAACCTGAAAAATACTGTGGATTTTTTTGGACACCCCTACTGAAGGGCCTCTGGAATAAACAACAGATGCATTTTCATCTCTCCCACAGTTCTTGCACATGACCTCAGGTTGCCAGCAATGCAGTGTGGCTGAAACATATGGAAATTCTTGTTTCCTAAAGAACTGGTGACATACAATGAGAGCCAGTGTTATATAGTGGTTAGACAGTCAGACTAGGATCCAGGAGATAGATCAAGATGGGTAGCCTATTTAGTCTGTCTGTAGCAGAAGAAGGTTCGAGACCCAGGTGCCACATGACGGAGTGAGCTCTCGTCTCTAGTTCCAGCTCCTGCCAACCTAGCAGTTCGAAAGCAAGAAATTGCAAGTAGATAAATAGGGACCACTTCGGTGGGAAGGTAACAGCGTTCCGTGCGCCTTGGTGTTTAGTCATGCCGGACACATGACCGCGGAAACGTCTTCGGACAGCGCTGGCTCATCAGCTTTGAAACGGAGATGAGCACCGCAACCCTAGAGTCGGACTCGACTGGCTTTCGAGCAAGGGGACCTTTATCTTTAGCAGAAGAAAAGAGCCAGAGACCAGGAGCACCTTAAAGACTAACAAAATATGTGGCAAGGGATGAGCTTTCGTAAGTCACTGCTCACTTCTTCAGATACCTGAATCTGTGACTCACGAAAGCTCATCCCCTGCCACATATTTTGTCAGTCTTTAAGGTGCTACAGGACTTAGGATCCAGGAGAATCAGGTTCATATCCCCTCTCTACCATGGAAGCTTGCTGGGTGACTTTGGATTGGCTCTTAGCATGATGTCAGCCACTTTGTGTCCCCATTGGGGAGAAAAGGGGGGTATGAATATAGTAAATAAATAAGCAAGCTAACAATCGTGGTGTGACACTCCTTCAATCTTTCTTGGTTAAAAGAAAGTCTAGAAAAGAAGAGCACAAATCTCGCAAAATAACGTGTGACAAAAAAGACACAGTTCTGGGCCCAGACGTGAAGTCTCAGACCCGCCATTCATTCCACGAGTGCAACTCTAGACCTCGTCACAAACCACAGAGATCCTTACCTTGAAGAGGTTGATATTGTCGATCTCGCACTGGAAGAGGAAGTCGTTGATGGATTTCATCTGAGCCCCTGAGAGACAAGAAGAAAGGCCAGATTTTAAAACACCAAGTATACAGAGAGGGAGCTATGTGTGCACTCATGTGGGCATACTGGTATGTGAGAGAGTCCCCAGCCAGACGGTGACATTTTACACGCCCAAAGCAATCACATGGACACAACCTACCTGCTTGGGGAATTCTCTGCATATTTGGGTTTTGTTTCACGTTTCCTGTTAAATACAGAAGACCAGAGAAAGGATTTACTGTTCTAATCTGAACTCACTATTCTGAATAAAGGCTCTCTTTTCAAACAAATTTAAAGAAAGAATTCAGTCCTAAGGGGAAACTTGAAATATTCATGAAATAAAGATAAATAAACTGATACAGTAGTACAAGTTTAACTAGGAACTACATTTCCATGAGCATGAATTTAGAGGGGATTCAGTGTAACTTTATTTAGGATTACACTGGAGATGTCCAATCAGAGGTTTCATAACTGACTGCAACCAGTAGAGGTTCTTTTTCATGCGCATGCTCAGGGCTCAACAGTCTTCACTAACTACAGATTCTAATTTGCTTCTCTAATTGAAATACCTGCTTAAAACATTTTTTTCAACACACTAATTTGCACTAGATTACATTAAATAGGTAGCAATTCTGTAAACTTAGGCAGATCAGGAGGGCAGGCAGGGTTGCATCAATGCTCAGTTCTCGTGGCCCTTTCTTACACGCCCAGGGAAATGCCGATCGCCACTTTGGGGTCAGGAAGCAATTGTTCTCCAGGCCAGTTTGGCCAGGGATCATAACGGTTTTGTTTGTTTTACCATCTTGTGGGCATGGATCAGGGGGTCACTGGGGGCAGAGGGGGAGGTAGTTGTGAACTTCCTACATTGCGCAGGGGGTTGGACCCTGGTGATCCCTTCCAACTCTATGATTCTATGAAATCCAGTAAAGTTGGCATGCTTGCATAAAATATATTCAAAGCAAACAGTATTTATCTTAACACATCCCTGAAAGTAAGGTTTTATTTCCCTACTTAGAAAGAGGCCCTTAGCTCTAGAGGAAAAGCCCAAAAAGTTAAAGAACTCAAGTCTGGCAATGAAAGGGTGGTAAGAAGTGGGTGTGGTCACTTGATGACAGGAAGGGAGGAGGGACTAAAAGGAGGCGGAGACAGAGGGAGCTTTGCAGACACTAAGGCAGGGTGAGCTGGTGCGGAAAGAGGCGAGTGAAAAAGAGCACTAGGCTGTGAAACACTAGGCTAAGAGGGAAAAGCCTACATAGCTGCTGTCAGGCTACACCTGATTTCCCCAAACCTTAAGAGAGTCATTTGCCAGAGTTTCTAGGAAAGGAAGCTTTCTCTGAACAAAGAGGGGAAAGACCATTGGGACTGGTCAGTTTACTTGAAAAGAGATCCTCCCCTGAGGGTGTAAAAAGCAACACCGAATCTAAATCTCCATTTCCCTTATCCGAGCTTCTTGGAATCTACCACTCGCGTAGCTGTCCACTCGCTGAGCTGTCCCCTCACTTTGCCTCTATAACCCCAAGGGAGTATTTTCCACTGCGCAGCCAGCCAGTTAGAACAGTTAATAATTAAGTTGAAAGAGAATTAAGGGAGATACGGGAGAAGATGCCGTCCGAGTAGGACTGGGAAGGGGAGAAAGAAGGCCAGGAAGTCAGAATCCATCCCTTCTGTTCATGCCCTGCTCCGCCTTTCTGGGATCCATTGATCTGCCTTGCTCCATCAAGGAAATGCAGAGGCTCCCAGAGCAATGGGTGTCTCTACACCCCAAATAATTGGAGAAACCAAATCACAGCTTTTCCTACCACAAGGCAATTCCTCTGCATCTCAGAATGTGATTTTGCTTGAAGCCCAAAATGTACGGAGTACCTCTGAGGGAAGGTAGTGGTGCTAAAACCAGGAGAGACCAGCTCCCAAGACAGGTGGGATTTAGAAGACCTTGACTAACCCTTACCTCCAAGAGCAGTTACAAACTTCTCCAGCAAGAATAGAATCTGTTTAATGTACATCAGGTTCTTCGCTTTCAGGCGTTTCCTATGAAAGAGAGGACAAACGACTGGACAGTCAAACCATGCCCGGAATGGAACCCATCCCTATTTCTGGGCTGGATGGGAGAACTGCTAGGTCACATTAGAAGAGTGCTATACCACCGGCAGATAATGGCTTATAAAGCCCAATATTACTGGTGTAATGTCATCTTTACTGAGTGTTCCTACCTAACAATTCAGATTAGAACTTACTGGTAGAAGAAACAGGCAACTGACAAAGAGTATGAGCTATGGAACCAGGCAGTCCCCAATTCAAATCCAGCCCTACCAGGAACCTTAGTCAAGGGCCCCCTTTTAGGCAGCACCACATGATAACCACCAGTTTTTTATGGCTTCACCTCAGACTGTTGGATTAGGAGCTGGGGGAGACTGGTTCAATTCTCTACTCGGCCACAAAGCAAACTGGGTGACCCCAGGCCAGTCTCACACATACTCAGCTTGACCTACCCGACAGGGCTGTTGTGAGGGAACAGCTGTGTGCAGAGCCCTAAGCGTCTTGGAGGAAGGAGTGGGAAGAAAAAGAGATTGGATTTATACCCTGCCCTTCACTCAGACTCTCAGAGTGGCTTACAATCTCCTTCCCTTCCTCTCCCCACAACAGATACCCTGTGAGGTAGGTGGGGCTGAGAGAGCTCTGACTGAGAACTGCTCTTGAGAGAACAGCTCTGAAAGAACTGTGACTCAAGGTCACCCAGCTGGCTATATGCAGAGGAGGAGTGGGAAATCAAACCCAGTTCTCCCAGATTAGAGTCTGCGCTCCTAACCACTATACCAAACTGGAGGAAAGGTAGATTGACAACACTGCTGCAAAACAGTTTCAGAAAGGTGGCCATGTTGGGTCTGCAGTAAAACAGCTAAGTTTGTGTCCAGTAGCTCCTTAAAGACCAAAAAGATTCTGGGGAGGAAAGCCTTCTAGGGTCAAAGCTCTGACGAAGGCAGCTTTTTTGTCTCAAAAGCTCATACCCCAAAAATGGTGTTGGTCTCTAAGGTGCTAGCAGAATTGAATCTAGCTGTTCTACTGCTGTAAAACATTACAGAGCCCAGCACTGTATAGGTAAGTCTGAACAGGAAGAATACACAGAGATGTCCCAGTTGTACAAACTACAGTCTCTCTTTATACGGTATCTTCAATTTGGGGCAAAAATCCAAGTGTTTTAAATCAAACAAGTGGCGATAGCTCAATTTACTCCTCTGGAAGTTCCCGTGCAACCACTGAAGACTACATCCCACTTAAATTGGATGCTTTTGTTCTATTTCCCCCCCACCACTTAATTTAAAAAGCAGCACTCAGTATAAAAACTGGTTTAATAATAATAAGAGGAGATTGGATTTATACCCCGCCCTTCACTCGGAGTCTCAGAGTGGCTTGCAAACTCCTTTCCCTTCCCCTCCCTACAACAGACACCCTGTGAAGTAGGTGGGGCTGAGAGAGCTCTCTTGAGAACTGTCCTTGAGAGAACAGCTCTGAGAGAACTATGGCTTGGCCAAGGTCATCCAGCAGCTGCATGTGGAGGAGTGGGGAATCAAACTCGGTCTCCCAGATTAGAGTTCGCGCACTTAACCACTACACCAAACTGGCAAACATGGAAAAGTCTTCACTTTGTCATCACTTAACAATGAAGGAAGAACATCTAGCAAACAGTTAACTGTGGTCTGCTTTTTTAAAAAAACGGAAAGGTAGGGAGAGAGCAAAACCTGAGGTTAAGCATGCTAAAGGACATACTAAGTTATCTATTTGATTATGGACATTCTGCCTCCCCCCACTCCAAGAGACTGAAAGTTGCACAACAATACCAGGATACCTTTATACCTCGAATATGCATTACTGCTACCATGGGAAAGGCTCTTTGGGGAAGCGCAAGTTAGCTGGGAATATCCTCACCTGTACCGCTCCATGTACTGAGAGAGCTGGGAATGGGCACAGCACAGCTACGATGGGAAACAAACAAAAAATGGAATTAAGGCAGTTTGTAAAAAAAACAACACCTTGGCCAATGTGAAGGTTCTCCGACAGAATGTCACAGCAAAGGCTGCCAGGTCCGACTCACCTGAGAACCATGAACCTGAGCGCTGTAGATGCAGGTGATGGTATCTATCAGGTTGTGGGCTTCATCGATGATCACCACTTGATCCTTCAGCTTGATCCCGGATGCGTTTCTGGTGGCTTCGTGCAGAAGCATCTGGTAAGGCAGCACGACCAGCTGCAGGAGAGAAGCAGACTTTACAGCTGCCGTGAGCCCCTTGAACTCACAGCGACCTTCCCTATCTGGGCCTTATTTTCCTCATGTTGTCTGCCTTGTCCTCCATTGGCCCATTCTGCATCTAGCATTCGCTCCCCTGATTTACCAAACCCACGCTGGAACAGAGATTCCCCTCTACATTGCATGCCACTTCCACTTTCTTTGTCGGATTGTATGGTCACCTCCACACTGCATGCCGGTTTCACGTCCTTTGACCTGCCAGTTTTATGGTACAGTCTGCATAGATTTGTGGCCGTTCAGGGGTGACTCTGCAGTCAGTACAGCGTTAGCCCCAGGGCATTGGAATGTGGTTTTGAGCCGCGCCCTTTTCTGTTCCAGTGTGGGTTTGGTAAAACAACGGCGTGAGCGCTAGAGGCTGAGAGCATTCCACCAGCATCTTCGCTTCAGAAACAGCCTCCCCCTGCTGAATGAAGAAGGGTGCTGCCTTGTCCAAGGAGAGGGGTGGATTCCCGAGCTTCCTCCTGCCCCAAAACTCACGGAAGCCTTAACTGGCCCCTTCTCAGTCCCAGGGCACATGCCAACTACCTATGCCAAGGCAGCATCCCTAACCTCCGCCAGGGGGTGGGTGCTGCAACAAATGCTGTGAATCTCAGGAATGAGAAAGTACCATGAGCACTGTTTGCGGGGGGGGGGGGGCTGAGGGTGTGCAGGAGAACCAGGTGACGCCTGTGCAGCATGCTGCCTCTTCAGGGACCTGTCAGGATCAACTGGGACAGAACAGAGTTTGAGTCCAGTGGCACCTGGGAGGCCAACAAAGTTTTAATTCTGGGTATAAACTTTAGTGGACATGCAAAGTTCTCCACAAAAGCTTATGCCCAGAATTAAACTTCCCAGGTGTCACTGGACTCAAACTCTGTTCTGTTGCTTCAGACCAAGACGGCTGCCCACCTGAATCGATTGACTGGAATGTAAGACTCCTAACTAGGAAAGACTATAAGGAGTCACATCAGGATTTTTTTTCTTTAGAAGAAAAAGAGATTGGATTTATACCCTGCCCTTCACTACCCGAAGGAGTCTCAGGAGCTCTCTCAAGAACTGCCCTTGAGAGAACAGCTCTGAGAGAACTTGTGACTGACCCAAGGTCATACCAACAGCTGCATGTGGAGGAGTGGGAATCAAACCTGGTTCTCCCAGACTGGAGTCCATGCTCTTAACCACTACACCAAACTAACTCACATCTGGGTTTCTCTTTCATCTGCATGGTAATTAGTGCACCCCCCCTTCAATCCTCATGTGTGTTCTATACAATGTCTACAAAAGGTACGCTGAGACTCATTTTCCCCTATATTTTTCCCCTGTAGCCCTTTACACCCTCCTTAGATGGTGTCTTATTTTCTTTTTTCTAATTCACAATTTATTAAATTCTGTAGTGCACAATACAAAATATTAATCTTGTTTTCCAGCAATCCTACAATTATTTATTATTAATAGAAAGTATTCTCAAACTAATCCCTTAACTTCTATTATACCCAGTTACTAACTAAGAATTACTTCCTATTCTAAATCATATTATCTTATACCACCTGCTAAATGTGCTTCCATTCAGTTTCTTCAATTTTTCCCCATGTTCGCTTCAAATACTTTATATTTACGTAATAATTACATTGGACATTCTTCAATTTACTATTTACTATAACATAATTCCAGTTAACTTTATTCTTCAAAAGAACCTGTTCTGCCTAAAATAAAAAAAGGAACCCCAAATGGAGATGCCTCTCAGTCCTGGGTCTGAGAAACTCAGTGGGAAGAAGGCCCCTTCCCCTCCTCCTGCGAGAGGACTTTTTTTGGGGGGGGAGGCACTTATTAATGAGATTCTGAATCTGAGCCAGCTGGATTTATCCACCTCTTCCCCTTGCTTAAGGATGAAGGAAGGGGAGAGGTTGTTGGAGGGGGGAGTACTTTGCTGACCTTTAACTCTGCAAAAGCCAGAATGGTAGCAGTGAACTTCCTGGTCTTCTCCGTCATTTTTGGTTAAACAGGAAAGATGGAAAGCAACTGAGGAGGAAAAGAGACTGCTGATCTGCCAGGTAGGGTTACCCTGCTCAGCCTTTGAAAGTTTCCTCTCTCTCTCTCTCTCTCTCTCTCTCTCCCTTCCTCTACAAAGGACTGGAAAAAAATTGTCCATTATGTGTTACATTTAGAGATCCCTGGTAGAAAGGAGAATGAGAGCCACTTCACACATTAAGGGTTTTCAGGTGTAAGCTTGAGTGTGAAAAAGTAGGGACAAACTGGTCTCTGAAAATGTGCTCATCAGGCCTCTCTGTCAGTCTTGGCTTCCTAATGAGCATCATTATGTGCCTATGGTACATACAGTGTATGAAAAGACTGGGAGAGAGACATGCAAGCAGCAACAGCAAGCTAGCTGCTCTCCCTCTACAATGATGTTCTCTAAGCATGGATCGAGAGGAGACCCTCTCGTTGTCACAGGCTCCTACAGTATTTGGGCTGAACCTATTGCCAATTTTGGTAAGAATCTTAATAATTTAACAGAGAGTTTCCAGTGATTCCTAGAGCTACCCTTTTCACTTCTGGGTATCTCTAGGAATCTCCAGTAACTCTATAGTAATACCTTTTTAATTTTTCTCCTGGGATGCTGCACACACACAACTCCCCCCACCCCCACCCCCTCCTGTCATCAATGCCTGGCACCCTTCAGTGGAGAGGAAGGGGTCTCCACCCTCCTGTCTGGCTTTGGATGCCTGCTGAAAGAAGCAACATGGGGCCAAGGCTGCTCAGCGGTGGAAAGGTTTTGTTTTTAGCATAAGCAAGTTCTCATCCTGTCAAATGTTTGCAGCTTGGTGGATCTTATACTGCCACCATAGAATCATAGAGTTGGAAGGGACCTCCAGGGTCACTCGTTGGCTAGAGATGAGTCTCAGATCTGGAAAGGCTGAAGACCACTGAACAGCAAGGTTGGGAAGAACACTCTAAATAGCAGCTACCGACAAAGTTGTTCTGAAGCTGATTACAGCAATCATAGCCTAATCAAATTTGACTGGTTGCCCTGACCTGGACAGCCCAGGCAAGCCCGATCTCATCAGATCTTGGAAGCTAAGCAGGGCCAACCCAGGCCAGTACTTGGATGTGAGGCCTCCTTGGAATATCATGGCCAGGACGCAGAGGCGGGCAATAGTAAGCCACCTCTCTGGAATCTCCAAGCCCCTCTAGGGGTCGCCAGAAGTCAACTATGACTTCCAGGTGCGCGCACACACACACAAAACACTCACCGAAATGTATCTGGTTAAAGCAGATGATTAAATGTAGGTATCATCAGTAAGTCTCAACAGAGGTGCCTTTCTGAACCAGTGTGGACACAAGCAAAGGGTTGGGAGGATCTGCTGTGCTAGAGGAGGTGCTTCCTTCCAGCACAAGAAGTCTCTACCATTAGGGAAAGGCTCCTTCCGGCAGAGGAAAGTGCTTCCACTGGTGTAAGAGATCCACAGGATTCAACTCACTAGCACTCGCATTATAAGAAGGGGCATCATTAATACTCTCTCATTCTGTATTAGAATAACACATCAGAAGAACCCTCGGAAGCTAAGCAGGGCCAACCCAGGCCAGTACTTGGATGGGAGACCTCCTTGGAATATCAGGGCCAGGACGCAGAGGCGGGCAATAGTAAGCCACCTCTCTGAAATCTCCAAGCCCCTCTAGGGGTCGCCAGAAGTCAACTATGACTTCCAGGTGCGCGCGCACACACACAAAATACTCACCGAAATTTATCTGGTTAAAGCAGATGATTAAATTTATGTATCATCAGTAAATCTCAACAGAGGTGCCTTTCTGAACCAGTGTGGACACAAACAAAGGGGATCCAGAGGATCTGCTGTGCTGGAGGAGGTGCTTCCTTACAGCACAAGAAGTCTCTACCATTAGGGGAAGGCTCCTTCCGGCGGAGGAAAGTGCTTCCACTAGTGTACGAGATCCACAGGATTCAACTCACTGGCACTCGCATTATAAGAAGGCTCATCATTAATACTCCCTCGTTTTGTATTAGAATAACACATCAGAAGAACCCAAACAGATAAGCTCTTCAGTCTCACCCCTTTCCATTGAAACGTGTCCTAAGAACATAAGATAAGCCAATGTTGGATCAGGCCAATGGCCCACCCAGTCCAACACTCTGTGTCACACAGTGGCCAGAAATACCAGGTGCCATCAGGAGGTCCAGCAGTGGGGCCAGGACACTAGAAGCCCTCCCACTGTTGCCCCACCCCCAAGCACCAAGAATCCAGTGCATCACTTGCCCCAGACTGAGAGTACCTACCTATACCTTGTGGCTAATAGCCACTGATGGACCTCTGCTCCATATGCTTATCTAATTCCCTCCTGAAGCCGTCCATGCTTGTAGCTGCCACCACTTCCTGTGGCAGTGAATTCCAAGTGTTAATCACTCTTTGGGTGAAGAAGGACTTCCTTTTATCTGTTCTAACCTGACTCCCCAGCAATTTCATTGAGTGCCCACGAGTTCTTGTCTTGTGAGAAAGGGAGAAAAGTACCTCTTTCTCTACCTGCTCTATCCCATGCATAATCTTATAAACCTCGATCATGTCACCCCTCAGTCGTCGTTTCTCCAAGCTAAAGAGCCCCAAGCATTTTAACCTTTCTTCATAGGGAAAGTGTTCCAACCCTTTTATCATTCTAGTTGCCCTTTTCTAGTGTCCTTGGCCTATTCTACTTCAAGCTTGCAGTTTGAGTTAGTATATTCTGAGTTCTCTTTCTGGTTCTGGTCTTAACATTCAAAGCCCTGTGTGGACTGGGACCACCATATCTGCAGGACCGTCTCTCCCAACAGGTCCCCCAAACAGCTTTGTGCTCTTCTGACCAACATCTACTGGTTATCCCCAGCCCAAAGGATGTACGTCTATCCTCAAGCAGAGCCAGAGAGCCTTCTCAGCTCTGGTGTCGGCCTGGTGGTGGAACACTCTCCCAGTTGAGATCCGGGCCCTGTGGGGTTCAATGCAGTTCCGCGGGGCCTGCAAGACGGAGGTGCTCCGCCAGGCCTAGGGGTGAGGCAGCGGCAACTCATGTCTAATGGCCTCCCCTGCTCTCCTCTGCCCTGTTCTATTCCACCTTGGCAGACTCTCACCCACCTACTTGCCCTGTATTGTTCTATCTAAAATTACCACAACTAGACTTGGGTTGCGGACGCCATCAAATGTTTTAGTAATGTCCAGTAACACTGGTGGTGGTGGTGGTGGGGGAATTATTGGTCTTTTATGATGTATAGATTATTATATTTAACTTGTATTATACTTTTATTATGTATTAATTTAACTCTGTTGTAACCCACCCTGAGCCTGCTCATGGGGAGGGATGGCTAAATATAGAATAAAGAGAGCCAGTTTGGTGTAGTGGTTAAGCGCACAGACTCTAATCTGGAAGAACTGGGCTTGATTCCCCACTCCTCCACTCACAGCTGCTGGATGACCTTGGGCAAGCCACAGTTCTGTCAGAGCTGTTCTTGAAAAAGAGCAGTTTCTCTCAGAGCTCTCTCAGAGATGGGGATTTTAAATGTTGCTTAGGAGATAATTTCTAGACCACATTTTTCAAGTGCTAACGGTCAATCCCCTTCCAGCACCGGGGCTACCTGAGCAGCCGGAATGGCAAAGCGGCTTCCGTAGTACGGACAGGCCTTGACTTCCTTCCCCAGGGCCACCAGCTCCTCGATATCTTTCACCTCCACCAAAACCTCGTCCCGAAGAAACTGCATGTGTTCGTATGAGTAAAATGGACACGCCACTCGACTCAGGCGTCTCTTCTTCCTCTCTGCCTCCTCCTCTGTGCTCTTCTTCTCTGAAGGCAAAGAAGTCAGAGGGAAAAAGCTATTAGAGCCAACAACTCCCCCACAAAAAAGCACAAGTATTCACACAGCAACATCAAGTATATACATATAATATACACATATTACACCTGGGTTGGGACAAGGGCCCTGTCTTTTACTCATTTTAAAGCGTCATGAGCATGTGTCTGGCTTTTTAAAACGACAAATCTGAACCAGGATCTTGCCCCGCCCCAAACTTGGAGCTCATGAGCTGAATTCAGATAACCAATGGAAAATTTGGAGAAGCAAGAGAGGAATGGGAGCAAATGTAACTCCATGGATTTGGGGATGAGGACCGCGGAGGGGCTGCGGTTCAGAGGCAGAACATTCCCTTTGCATGCAAAAGGTCCCCAGATCAATCCCCAACATCTCCAGGATGAGGTAGCAGGTGAAGTGAAAGACCTTGCCTGGAGACCACGGAGAGCTGCTGCAGGCCAGAGTAGACAATACTGCAATACTGGACTTGAAAGGCCAACAGTCTGACGCAGTAAAGGCAGCTTTATGTAAAGAAGGTGCTGCTGCTTAGTGGCAGAGCAGTTCTTATGCATGCAGAAGGTCCCCAGTTCAATCCCTGGCAGCTCCAATTTAAAAAAAGATCAGATAAATCTGTGACATGAAAGACCTCTACCCAAGACCCCAGAGAACTGTTGGCAGTGAGAGTAGGGAATGTGGACTTAGGTAGAGTGAGCGTCTGACTCCCCTGTGCTCCCCTACACCCCCAGACTTCGTCATACCGTGTTTATTCTTCTGCATCTCCATGCAACGATCATTGATCAGCTGAACAGCTCCCAGGCGTCGCACTTCCTCGTTCACACACAGGTTCTGAGAGAGATGCGTGAAAGCAGAGACCAGTTGACTGAGACATATTTAAGTGCATTCCCTCCTACATGGACTTAGAATGGGCCCAACGGAATGCAACTTGGAATCATTCTGCATTCTAAAATTCCATCCATCTTTACAGATCCACAAAGCCAAAATGCAGGCTCTGGCACTGCAGATGTTGAATAAGCGTGACACTGTCGGGGGAGGCTGATCTCTGGCACACTATTTGGATTCCCAGAGATACTGCCAAACTCCCTTGCTTTTTAAATAAAATTTCGTTTGCATCCTGGAAAATAGAACAGCAAATAAACAACAATAAAAAATGACTTTATTATCTAACCTTTTGCGGGTGTTTCACTATGATAAGGATTGTGTGAACTCTTGTTTAATTTTCAATGCAAATTATGCCATGTGTGTGCATTCTCTGGAGTGGCCCCCACCTTGTGGAACGGCCTCTGCCCGAGGAGGTCAGGAAGGCTCCCAGGTTTCCGTCGTTCCACAGAATGTGCAAGACAGAGATATTAAGGCGGGCATCTTTATAAGGGGATTAGAACTGCAGTATGATGGTGGCTCAAGTGGTTAAGACGCTGAACTGCAGGCTGTGGAAGGTCAGTAGTTCAGCAGTTCGAGATCCAGGGTGCCGCATGATGGAGTGAGCTCCCGTCTCTAGTTCCAGCTCCTGCCAACCTAGCAGTTCGAAAGCAAGAAATTGCAAGTAGATAAATAGGTACCACTTCGGTGGGAAGGTAACAGCGTTCTGTGCGCCTTGGTGTTTAGTTATGCCGGCTACATGACCACGGAAACGTGTTCAGACAGCGCTGGCTCTTCGGCTTTGAAACGGAGATAAGCACCGCAACCCTAGAGTCAGGCTCGACTGGCTTTCGAGCAAGGGAACCTTTACCTTTATGATGGAATAGTCTGGAAGGGCATTTTTGTAAGGGAACAGGATTGTAGCCTATTACCATGTTTATTGTATGTACTGTCTTGCATTTACTGCAGCGTCTTTTACCTTTTTAATGCACTCTCTGGGTTGTTTATAATATGTCATGCCTTGGACAGTTTTCTGTTCGCATTGTTTTCTAATTCTGTAATCCTAGCAGTATTGCATTGCCTAATTTAGATGTCCAATTGAATTGTTTTCTATGTTTTATAATCCGTCTGGAGTGCCACTGAGAAAGGTGGGTGATGCATGAAGTAAAGAAATTTCTAAGTCAGGAGGTCCAAGGGTGCAATCAAGATGACCTCACAACAGCATCTGTTTCCCTAGCCCCTCACCGTGCTATCGGCTGTTGTGCATGTGTGTTTGTGCACAACCTCACAACACAGCTCCCTGATATTGCAGAAAGAGGAAGAAAGAACTAGGTGCCCAGGTGATATTTTTGGGTGCAGGGTCTTATTAGCTCCACCCTAACCAGCAGCTGAGCTGCTTTTGTGGAAGGCCACAGAGCGGCATACCTGCCTAGATCCCAAGGAAACCAGCCGGGTCTCCTTGCTGAAAGGGCTCTTCTGGACCTCGTGCACGAACTGGGCCAGCTGGGAATGTGTTCGACTGCAGTAGTAGATCTGGGAAACAGAGACAGAAAAGACATGCAACGGGAGACCCAAGACCTGCTGACAGCCGTTTATTCTGAGACACACTGGCTGCTGGAGCAATGCAGAAATTACGTTTCAGAAGCGACACGGGGACAAAGAGGCATTTGCAGCGGCTGCCTGACAAATATGACCTCCTGAAACTTTCCAAAGCCTGCTCATGAATAGATTTTTTTTTACCTGCACTTGAGCAAGATCTGAGCCCAGCAGAACCTTAGAGACCAACAAGATTACCAGGGTAAGCTTGACAAAGGGAGCTTAGACTCTCGAAAGCTTCTACCCTGGAAATTGTGTTGGTCTCAGAGGGGCCACCGGACTCGAATCTTGCTCTCCTGCCAGAGACCAACACAGCTGCCCACCTGAAGCTATCACCTGTACTCGGCTCTGAGAGCAAGCAGTTCAGTCTGGGTTGAAGAATGAACTGTTATTTTCTAGGGCACACACACACACACACCCCCCAAGGCTTGTGAATAAGTGTTGCAACAATACATAAACGTGGCCAAAGGGGAAAAGTGAGGAACTCACACACCTACACCATGGCATTTCCCCGATGAATGATTTTGTGGTGCTGCTCTTAGACGGCCCTAACTCAATATCTGTGCAAGCTGGAGCCACAAGGAGACGTTCCTTCGGACCCTACCTTAGTTACATGCTCTTCTTCAAGATCATCGTCATCTTCGTCGCTTAATCTAGGAGATAAAGCAGAAAGGAAGCTATTTCTGACCCCAGCCTGGCCCAACTGATGCCCTAAGGAGCGGCTGTCCAACAAGGAAGATGCTGTTTCAGCTTCCAAAGAGAGGCACACACCTTATCAGTTGATGGTGCCACTCGCGTTCTTACCTGCTGCCCACTTTCTTCTCTTCGTCGCTCTCATATTCTGCAGGGATCAGATCTTCCTCATCCTGATCCAGTGGCTCCAAACCACCCGGCTCGCCCTGGTTCGACAAGATGTCCTTGCTGAGTTGGAGCAGGTGCTCCATCTCTTCCTCCTCCAGCCTCTGAAATCAGCACAACGTAACCATCATTCACCCTAACCCAATCAGCTCACCATCCTACAAGACACAGAAACATTTTGAGCAGCCCACTGTGCTCCCATCCACTGTTCAGGAACTTTGTTTGATGTGTTCTGCAGAAGAGCGAGATTCAAGTCTGGTAGCACTTTAGAGACCAAAGAGATTTCCAAGGGATAAGATTTTGAGAGTCAAAGCTCCCTGAATCCCAGGCAGAAGGTGAGAGAGGGGTGTTGCAAAGAAGGGAGTCAGGCTGCAAAGGTTCAATGCAAAATGTAATCAGCTTGCTTAGAGCAGCCCCTAAGCATTTCTCCCCTGCTCTGATCAAGCTGATTACATTTTGCATCGTACCTTTGCACCCTTCTTTGCAATGCCCCTCCCACCTTCTGACTGTGATATAAAGGCTCAGGGATCTCCATTCTTGCTTGGATCTGATGAAGGGAGCTCTGACTTTCAAAATCTTATAGCCTGGAAATTTTGTTGGTCTTTAAGATGCTACTGGAGTCATTTCAAGCTCTTCAAGAGCTAGTCCTCAGAAAATCACAGCATCAGGGAACTTTTCCAGTATGCCATAACTATGTACGTACAATGAATGCAGCTATGAAAAAGATCTTATTGGTTACAAGCTCTCCTGTGCAGGCCCAGAAATACAACCGTAGCCTTGCAAATAAGTCACCTGTCTCAGTGCATTTAGTCCTCAGCACACAAGGTCACAATGCGTCAGTTCACATAGTTCATCTACCAGCTCATAAGACACAGACTGTTGTGGATCCACCACAGAGTGCAGACAAGGACAAAAGTGCTAAACTAGATCAACTCTTGATCTCAGAATGTTTGGGTTCTGGGATGAACATAAGAGAAGCCATGCTGGATTAGGCCAATGGCCCATCCAGTCCAACATTCTGTGAAACACAGTAGCCAAAACCCAGATGCTATCAAGAGGTCCACCAGCGGGGCCAGAACTCCAGAAGCCCTCCCAATGTTGCCCCCTAAGCACCAACATGGATAGCACTGGGTTCGAAACCACCAGCTTTTTCATTCCACCTCACCTACTTCCCCTACTTATTACAGTCCCAATCCCCACATGCCTTTTTTCTATACAGGTCCCATGATCCCTTGCAAAGTCTTTTTGGTAGTCAATGAAAATGCTGGTTGGATGCAACTTATTATCTGTTTGCAGTCCTTACCAAGGTTTTATGATTATGCTAAATGATGAACAAGGAAGCTGACTTTCAAGACCCTGATTCTAGGGAGGCCTGGGCCCTGCACCATTCCAGCTACCTTTGGATATTTAGATATGTACGAATATGTTTCCGAGGACTAAGACAGCTCACCCTTCTTTTAGATGCATATTTCAGCTGCACGTTGTGGCGAATTTGCTCCAGCCGTTCTTCTCGCTTCTTCCTCCTGATCTGCTCTTCCTACAGTAAAGCAGCCACCGTTAATGGATAACCCCTGAAGTCCCGGAACCTGAAGTGGAGCAGCAGTTCAGCCTCTGCTTCTATTGTGAATTCCAGGCATATCAGAACTACCACTTCAGCCAAATGCCAGTTTTAAAGGTCACTATTCAACTGGTGTAGAAGTTATTCACACATGGTGGCAAAACCATTTGTTGTGCGTACCGTTCATAGTTGTCATTAGAAGCCTCTAGTGTAATTTGTACAGTGTGACAGATTTTTCTGTTTATTTGTTTGCATAAATGCCAGTTTTAGGCTTCCTTAAATGTTTACACACATTCCTCGTCCTTGCTGTTGCACCTAGGTCAGGGTTCCCCAACGTGGTGCCCGTGGGCACCATGGTACCCACCAGTACTTCCGGTCAGTACTTGGGCTCGTCACCCCTCTCAAAATTCCAAATATGCCCGCAGGCTCAAAAAGGTTGGGGACCCCTGACCTAGTGTCAGCTATGCTGCCATGAATGTGGTGAATGTTTCTCCTTAAATGTTTACACACGTTCCTCGTCCTTGTTGTTGCACCTCGGTCAGGGTTCCCCAACGTGGTGCCCACCACTGTTCCCTCTAAGCTGAGTTAGTGTGTGCCAGCTCAGAGTTTTTTAGCCTCAAGCTCACATATTTTTGTCTTAGCTCAGGAAGGGTGGCTCCAGAGCAAACCAATTTATGCAGTAGCCAAATTGTTTGCTCACAACTTTAACCCCAGTACCTCACAAAGTAGCACTTTTGCTCACAAGACTCCACAGCTTAGAGGGAGCATTGATGCCCACCAGTACTTCCGGTCAGCACTTGGGCTCATCACCCCTCTCAAAATTCCAAATATGCCCACAGGCTCAAAAAGGTTGGGGACCCCTGACCTAGGTTTTACGCAATAGCTGTAGCATGTGCTGAACGAAAACACAGTTTGCACCGAAGTGGTAGAGAATCTTTGGCAAACTACTCCAGAAGCGCCTTAAAAATATTGCAGGCTTTCCCATCTCTGATTCCTCATCTGGGAAAAAAAAAGTGGTGTGCAGTGGTGTGCAGTGGTGTACCGTGTCAAACTGGATCTGGGAGGCCCAGGTTCAAATTCCCACTCTGCCACGAAGCTTGCTGGGTGACTTTGAAACCATCACTCTCCTTCAGCCTAATCTATCCCGTAGGGACGTGGTGGGGATAAAAAGAAGGGGCAACAATGCACACTGCCCAGATCTCTTTGGAGGAAGGATCAGATACAAATGGATGAGACAGATGATTGACCCAGTGGTCAAAGTGAGCAGGTACAGAGTATTAGCATTAGGTTTACCAAGAATGGGTGAGCCGGCGAGGTAGAGAACAGCATATTTTCTTTGCTGATGCTATTCAGCAGGGGCTGAATTCATACTCATCCTTTAAAACAAGTATCTTAACAGATCATTAAGCAAAGCAGTATCTCAGGAGAGAAAAAAATTAAATTGGAGTAAGGAAAGGATCACCTAAAAATGTATTCTATGAAATATTTGGTAAAACCTGCTGCCACTTTGGTCTTGTTTGTACTGCATGTACTGCATTCTGTGAAATATTTGCTAAAACCTGCTTATTGGAGTAGTTTGTTTTCTATATTTCTTGCTTCTTAAGCGACACCCTTCCTGGTTTTATGGGTACAGTAGCACTGGCATAAGTTTTGAAAGCACACACATGTAGTGGGCATCTTCTCTCTGGCTTGGAGTTCTAAATGCTGGGGTGAATTCAGCCACTCTGCTCAGCCTTCCTGCAGCTTAAGTGGCTCTTTAATTAGAGGAAGGCTTTCAACTTTGCTTAGCAACTGTGACAGATTGCACAGAAAAGCAGGCTTTTTAAAATGCTGCTTGTATCACAGAGTCAGGGAGTGCATGAGTTCATCTCCCCTGGAGAGAAGAGCTTATGTGATTGGCTGCTCTACTTGCTCTCTGATTGGCCAGCATCAGCTGAGAGAGGAAATAAAACAGCTGATCTGGAGGGAAAAGAGGTCTTACACAATTTGGTCTTTCGCAATTTGGACTGTCTAACGTCTAGATCAGTAGCCAGAAAGTTTGGCTTCTGAGGGAAGAGACTTTTGGGGGTCAGTGTTTTCTGACAGACAATAGTCAGAAAAGTGCTTCTACGGAAGGAAGAAGAGAAACCTCATTGTCTAAATATATTAAAACCGCTCTGAGGCAGAACTGAAATTCTCAGTCAGAAAAGCTACAGAACAGCCTCAAGTGCCATTTCTCAAGGGTTTTTAAAAAAAACTTGGACAGCTCCTATATTTTCAGTAGAGTTCCTGAGCTGAGAAAAAGCCTAAACTAAGTATCTAAACAAAGAGTGGGGCAGTCAAGTCTTTTGTGACAAAGAATATCCACACGCTACTGTAGGGCAACTCAGTCACTGAGGGGAACTGACGATTTGGCAGGGAAAATCTGCCAGACAGTTGGGGAGATACAGGGTTATGTCATAGCAGCATGGCTGGATCCACCCCATCTTCACATAACTTGCCTACGGTGTGCCTTTGGGGGGGGGGCTTGTGCAAAGAAGACAAAAGGACTTTTTTGACTTGCATCACTAAATTCCACCCTCTAGAATATTTCCATTATTTATTAAAATATTTATAGCCTGCATTTCCTCGTGGCTCAAGAATGACCCTGCTGCACTCAATAAGCAACATGTTTTACCTTCAGTCTGTGGGCTGCTTCTCGCTCTTCCTTCTTCTGCACAAAGTGGGTGATCCAGTCTGGCTCTGCTGAAGACCCCCGACTGTCTGCAGACTCGGTGCTGCCCTTCTCAGACCGCTTGGTGGCATCCTTTCCTTCCGGTTCAACTGCAAGCAGCCGGGCCTCTTCCTGCCTCTTTTTTTCTTCAAAATCTCGGAGCCATGAGAGGGCGCCGCAAATAAGGCTCAAAGATTTGCCCTACAGACAATAATAATGTATTAAAAGGGAACTATTTATTCCAAGGTAAAAGTAAAGTTTCCCTTGCTCTAAAGCCAGTCAAATCTGACTCTAGGGTTGCGGTGCTCATCTCCGTTTCCAAGCCAAAGAGCCAGCGCTGTCCGAAGACGTTTCCGTGGTCATGTGGCCAGCATGACTAAACACCAAGGCGCACGGACCGCTGTTACCAAGCAGAGTCGGAAAAGAAAGAAGCTTTTGCCACTAGGGTTGCCAGGTCCTCCCTGGCTGCTGGTGGGGGATGGGGGATAAGGTGGCCAGATCCTAGTTGGGAAATTCCTGGAGATTTGGGGGTGGAGCCTGGGGAGGACAGGGACCTCATGGGAATACAATGCCATAGAGTCCACTCTCCAAAGCAGCCATTTTCTCCAAGGGAATTGATATCTGTGGTCTAGAAATTAGCTGTAATTCCAGGGGAACTCCAGGTCCCACCTGGAGGTTGGCATCCCTATTTGCCATAAAGTGACCCTTCCCAGTAATTTTTAAGAAGAAGAAGATTTATACCCCGCCCGTCACTTGGGAGTCTCAGAGCGGCTTACAAACTCCTTTCCCTTCCCCTCCCCACAACAGACACCCTGTGAGGTGGGTGGGGCTGAGAGAGCTCTGACAGAAACTCCTCTTTTTCAAGGACAGTTGTGCCAGAGCTTGCGACTGACCCAAGGTCACATCAGCAGGTGCGAGTGGAGGAGTGGGGAATCAAACGCGGTTCTCCCAGAGTAGAGTCCGCACACTTAAGCACTACACCAAACTGGTATCTGCCAGCTTGCTATGTACCTGGGCCTGAGCAATTGCTCCCAGACATATAACCAAATGACAAGCCCAGCACGCTTTCTCCCCAGCCCTTACCCTTCCTCTTTGGCTGCTACTGAGTCTGGCCTGCACACTCAGAAGAATGAGGTTGTAGAATGGAATGTACCACTTTTAGACTACAGGTAGTCTGCACCACACGTTGGGACCATATCACACATGGAATTTTTCCCTTAAAAATTCCCTGCAAACAGATAACCAGCCCTGCAGGTCAAGAGAGGGCCAGAACATCACTCCGTGCAATGCTAGATTAGTATGGGCATGGGGTCTTCCAATGCAAAGGAACAATCAAAGATGGAATCTACCCCTTGCAGCCTAAAATGAAGAAAAGTAGGCTTTTATACCCTTTTTTCTCTACCTAAGAAGTGGGGCTGAGAGAGTTCTGAGGGAACTGTGACTGGCCCAAGGTCACCCAGCAGGTTTCATGTGGAGGAGTGGGGAATCAAATCCATTTCTCCAGATTAGAGTGCACTGCTCTTAACCACTACACCATGCTAGTACAGTTCATTCGACCACCTCTGCCACCACATTTTCCTGCATACCATACTTTATTGCTTTACACACAGAGTGATTAAAATGTGGAATTCACTGCCAGAGGATGTGGTGATGGCCACAAGAATAAACAACTTTAAAAGGGGATTAGATAGATTCATGGAGAATACGTCTATCAATGGCTACTAGCCGTAGTGACTGAGGGGAACTTCCACATTCAGAGGCCAGAGCCAGAAGGCAGCACCAGGGAAAGACCTCAGCCTCTATGCTTTGTTTTTGGCCATCCAGAGGAACTGGTTGACCACTGTGTGAGACAGGATGCTGGACTAGATGAACCATTGGTCTGATCCAGAAAGGCTCTTCTTATGTTCTTCTATATCTCAAAGTGTTCCTTCCTTCTACCACACAGAAATTATATAGACTTACTGTTCCAGTTGGACTCTCAAATATCCCAATCTTTCCAGCTTCCAAGACTCGATAAAGCTTAACCATGAATTCTTCTTGAATGGGATATGGTGTATAAGGAAATGGAAATTTCATCTTGGCTGTTCCCTGGGTTTCCTCCGCTATCTCCTGAAATGTAAAAGACACCCATATGCGTACCTTATCAACGGCATATTTATCATTTTACAAAGGAAAACATTATAGGAGCGTAAGGAAATGTTTCCTAGCAAGGCTGGCCCACTCATAATGCCCACAGCTAAAGCTGTCCAAATAAAGTTCAGCCACATCTATGGGCTGAACAGCCAAACCTGCAGGATTTCATTCCACTAAGCCACCTCAGAGCTATTCTACGGGGCCTAATTTGAACATGCCGCCAGGTGGGCTGCCACTGCACCCCTGTGCCATGTTCCACGAGGCCAGCTTCATGTTTAAACTGGCCCCAGCTCAAGAAAACGAACCAGTAAACTGAGATGAGAGAGTCCTGGGCAGTTCCACTTCAAACAGCTGTATGGGTAGCTGTATTTCTGAATGCTTCCTCACACTCTCAAACACAAAATTTCTCCTTTCATATTGAAAATTTAGCACATCAAGGAGAAAATCTGGCTTGTTTCATTACATAGGTGACCTTCCTGTGGGAATATTACCACAGGCAGTACAGGCAGAAGTTTTTGCTGCTTCGGAACAGAAACCAGAGTGCCAACAATGGCAGAGTGAGGTCTGGTTAATTCTAGCTTGTCTTTCCCATTCCATGCTAACGCCTGCTCTCTGGTTCTGTAATCTGGAGGCAAAAGCATTCCAAAACGTGGAGATGGGATGGAGCTGTAGTGAAGACCAGAGTGGGAACATCTCATGCCTTGGACTCAATGTGCGGCATATTTGCCCCCAAAAAGGATGGCTGCTATTGGTTTATTATTTCTAACATTTATTCCTGGCTCCTATGGGGGTGGGGAGTCACAGGTCTGAAATTCAACTTTATTGATAAGAATATGAGCAGAGGTCCATCAATGGCTATTAGCCACAAGGTATAGATAGGGACTCTGGGGCAAGTGATGCTCTGTCATCTTGGTGCTTGGGGGGGTCAACAGTGGGAGGGCTTCTAATGTCCTGGCCCCACTGGTGGACCTCCTGATGGCACCTGGTATTTCTGGCCACTGTGTGATACAGAGTGTTGGACTGGATGGGCCATTGGCCTGATCCAACATTGGCGTCTCTTATGTTCTTATGTTCTTAACTTGGCTTTGAGGTATTCTCCAGCCACAGACACCAATCTTAAATGTTGAAGAAGAATTTTAAAATTATATTTCAGAAACACTGATTTAGGTAGGTAGCCGTGTTAGTCTGAAGCAGCAGAACAAAGTTTGGGTCCAGTGGCGCCTTTAAGACCAACAAAGTTTTATTCAAGGCATAAGCTCTCGTATGCAAGCACACTTCCTCACATACATTAAATGGAATTTAACAGTCCATACATATAGGCAGAGGATGAACAGCAAATTAGCATACAATGCAGGGATTTTTTTCTGGGGGAACACGCCGGAACAGAGTTCCGGAACCTCTTGGACAAAATTCTTTTTAAAATGTTTAAAAATTCATGAGTTTTTAGTATACAGATTGACAACTTCCATTTCCCTCTTGAGAGTTCCAGCACCTCTTTTTCATTAAAAAAAGAAGAAGAAGCCCTCGTACAATGTAATGAAGATGTTTTAACAGATGCAAAGTCCAAACAGAAATAACAAGCTAAGATTAAATGGTCACAATTTGTTTGGATTTAATTACCGGGGTTTGGGGTGGGGGAGAGACGACACAATGAAGCAAATAAAAATGTCAAAATAGGAGACTAATGTCATAACTTGATCTTAAAGGTGCCAGTGGACTCAAACTTTGTTTTACATTTCAGAAACATATATTTTTAAATCTGGAAGCAAAGCTCTGCCGGATCCATCTAGTTTTCCAGATGTGCCCAGGCAGGCTTTAAGCAGGTCACAAAACCAAAGCTAACTCCAACCCCTCCCCTCAAACGAACCGTTCTTTAAAGGCACACAGCCTCTGAACATGGAGGCTCCATTTCGCTGGATGTTCTATTGGACCCTAATCCTATTTTTTCAGCTTCCCTTCTAGGTTTCAGCAGCCACCTCGACCTAGCCAAATCTATGCTGTCTCCTAGCGAAAAGAATAAAAGAAAGCCAAGAGAAACAAGAGCAGGCTCGTCGCTTCGTCACACAACTTCCCTTCTCACGATCACAAAAGTATCACCTACCTCCCCTGCTTGTCCCTTTCCGGCCGCCATCTCCCTCAGTGAAGGGCCCTTGACATTCCAAAGACAGCCAAGCCGCTCTTCGAAACAGGCGCCAAAGTGAAAGCCGGATGGCCCCGCCTCCCAAGCCTGCGTCACGCGTCTCCTTCTCGCGGAGGGCGGGGGTGGGAGCGGAAGAGGGAAAGAACGCAGCCGGCGCCAAAATCCCGCCGTCGTATAGCGAGTCTTTAGAATTCTCCGGAGTGTTCAGGCGCGCGCCAGTGTCCTATTGGTGGAAATAACCTTCCCCCGGCGCGAATCAAGTCTCTCACGATCCAATCAGGGCCCGGTTGCAAAGTGACGTCTCCGCAGGGCGTGCTCATTCATTGCCTTTTCGGAATCAAATGCAAACCTGAGAGGGTTCGCTGTAGTTATTAGGCTGGTGGGACTCTGAATATTCGCGTTTTGTTTACTCCCTCCCTCTTGGGTAACACGTTCTTACTTTCCGCTGGCTTAAAAATCGCACTGATTTCAGTGGAAGTGGCCTCCGGGTCGCGCAGAGTTTTGCGCTTATTTTGTTATTATTAATGTCTGTCCCAGTGACTCTTGTCTTCTCACAGTGTACCCAACATATATACACTTAATCCAGTACATAAGAAAACTTAAAACAGAAGAGTAGCATCCCCTTCAAGACTAATAATGACTGTGACTAGCTGTATCTGAAGAAGTGAGCAGTGACTCAGGAAAGCTCATCCCCTGCCACAAATTTTGTTGATCTTTAATGTGCTTCTCTTTTCTAGTGCTACAGACAGACAAACACAGCTACCCATCTTGAAATACTACCAGTTATACAGCACAAATCCATTGCAACTGTCAGTTCAGCCTCTAAAAATATTTAAGTTGTATCTAACGCCTCCTGCTTGCCACAGAACACTCAAGCACGGAAATGAGTTCAGGCTTTTACCAAAAGATTGCACTTTGGGATGTTGTGCATGCAAAGCATGAGTTCTATAGCCCATCTGTGGCCCTGCCCATCATGCCTGATGAAGAGCTCTGAGTAACTGGAAAGCTTGTATACTTTGTGCACAAATGGCAGTCCGGATACTAAAATACAATGTTATTTCTTCACACCCAAAGACCCCCATTCCTCTTCCTCCCGGTATTTCCTGCCCTCGTATTATTTTTCTCTCCATCTGCCTCACAATAGGTGAGATTCAAGAGCTTTGCCTATTTCTCTGCTGAAAGGCCAAACTACTCATGGCAGCAGCAAACCGTCATCTGCATCTGCCTGCCCAATTACATCAAACAAGGGGGAGGAGGAATGCAATGTAAGGCATTAAAGGATGCAGAACCTTCACCCCAGTTGACCACCCCATCCCCCCAGTCGCTCCTACTTGGCGGCGGCTATGTATCTCCCAGTTATGTTATCCCACTTTGCTGACATTTGGGCAGATGGTTCTGCCACAGTCAAGGATGGACTTCACCATTCAATGGGTGTGTTTTTATGGTGTCAGTTTTAACCGCTCTGTACTCTGTATTGTGGTGCTCCTGTCCCTTATTGCTATTTTCACTTGGTTGGCTATGCCATGCCATGCCAGAATGTTTCTTTATTTTTAGATATTTATACCCCCCTCCCTTTTCCTCCCCAAACTGGCTTCCACAGCATTCTCCTGTACTCCATCCTCGCAACAACAAACCTGTGAGGCAGGTTAGGCTGAGAGAGAGACTGACTGGCCCAAAGTCACCCATCAGGCTTCCACGGCAGAGGGGGGGATTTGCACCTGGGTCTCCCAGATCCTACTCTGATACTGTTATGACTACTACAGTTGCCAGCTTCCAGCAGGCTTTTCTTTAGCCTCCAGGCCATGAAAAAATTGAGCTGCCCACTTCCGCACGTGAAGCCTTTTTAAAGGAACAGGGTTTTTTTTTCCTTTCCAGGTGAGCAACCTAAACAAATATTCCACGCTGGCTCTCAAGTGTTCACCGAGATGGCTCCATTTGTTTGTGTTGGGAGGAAGGCGACTCTGCATGTCTGGACATTGGGCAGTGCTACACTGCTCTCCATGTGTACATGTGTTATCTTCTTAAGGAATAAGCTGCCTCTCTTTGTCTAACCTTGCGATTTCTTCTTCTCTTCCTGTGCCCTTTGTGTTCTCTCTCTCCTCATGGACCTGCAAGGAGCAGGACACATCTACAGGGGCTGTGGGTCAGTGGCAGAGCATGTCCTCGGCATGCAGAAGGTCCCGGGTTCAATCCCTGGCATCTCCAGTTAAAAGGATCAGGTAGGAGGTGATGTGAAAGATCTCAGCCTGAGACCCTGGAGAGCCGCTGCTGGTATGAGGAGACAATACTGACTTTGATGGACCAAGGGTCTGATTCAATATAAGGCAGCTTCATGTGTTCATGGGGATCACGTGATCTTCACAATTATACTTCCCACATTCATGTGTCATGGCACATCCATGCCATCTTCCTTGCGATACCAGATTAGCTGGTCACTTGTGATAGGGAACAATATTCTTTAGACTAGGGAAAAGGCCCGTTGTGGAAATAAATATAACGATCTCTAGAAAGAGGCTCTGGGCAGGTGCCCCAGCCTTGGACACTCAGTGCCAATTTGCTGTGGCGACCTCAGCAAGGTATAATGACACTGAGTCCACCATTCTCTCCAGAGGAACTGATCTCTGCTACCTAAAGAACAGTTGTAATTTTGAGTGACCTCCAGCCCTCACCTGGAGATTGGCAACGATGGTTCCCCAGAAGGGAATGGTTGGTTTGGAGAGTGGAGTCTCTGGCTTTGTACCTGTCCGAGGTCCCACGCCTCCTGAAACCTCACCCTCTCCAGGCTCCATCCCTCACATCTCCAGGAATTTCCCACCTGGAGTTGGCAACCCTATCTCCTTCCCAGCCAATTATCAACCTACCTTTATTTCCCCCTCACTCTTCAGCTTTCCACCCCCCACACACCTGCAGCCTCTCCTGTGCTCTGAAGCCCTGACTGCTACGTCACAGTGGCTGTCATACGGGGGCCACCTCAGCAGCATATAAGGATACAGAGCCCACCATTTTCTCCAGGGGAACTGATCTCTGCCATCTGGAAAGCAGTTGGAATTCTGAGTGATCTCCAGCCCTCACCTGGAGATTGGACACATTTTACCTCAGAACAGCAAACTGTTTAGAATGTTGGAGGCAAAAGCCAATCAAGTCACATATGCAAATGACATCTGTGTTCCAAGGCAAAGGCCAATGAGGCTGCATATGCAAATAACCTCTGTGTTCTGAATGGCTATGGGGGGGAGAGGAACAGCAAAATGTTTAGAATGTTGGAGGCGAGACTCAAGCAATGCGGCCAGTGGATAGGGACAGATTCTGAGTGACACACCAGGGCGCCAACCAATTCCGGAGCGTGTGGAATGTTCTAGAGAAGTGCTACCACCATTCGGCGTTTATCTATAAGGGAGATTAGGCTTCTCTCTTTCCTTTCAACTGCAATGTGGATGTGAACTGAATCTACCTCAATAGATGTCAGCTTTACATTTTTGCAATATACTTGCTTGGAGTTTATTTACTGCACTTGGTACTGCATTTCTATGACTATGCAACTTTGCTGCATTAGCTAATACATAGCCCAAGTACTTTGCTCACTAAACAGAAGATTAACTGCAAAGGAACAATATCAGAAATATCTACGAAGACAAATGATGGCATGATACAGTGTAGGAGGAAAAGGAAGGTTTTATTTTTAAAAGTGCAACCAGCATACTAACAGCAGCAATGAACAAGGAGTCCAGAACACAACAAGACCTTACACCAGACCAGAAACCAACAGCAAGATGCATGAAGGCCCATCAACTGAGACAGCAGCAATAAGTTTTAGGCGGACTGATGTAGCCAACAACTTCCTTAATTCCTACATTCACAGTACTGTGCCTATTGAAGCCTGATTCTGTACTCAATAGTTGTGCCACTTCATTCAGTGGTACTTACTTCCAAGCAAGTGTACACAGAATGTCAGCCTGAGCAGCAAACAAGTTAGCTTACTTAATCCCAGAATGGACTGTTAACGCCAAATAACTACCTGGGGGGGGAATAGCTCAACTCAAGTTTGAATGACAGAAGGCTATTCTTGATAAATATGGCTAACTAAATCCAGGTTTAGGAGGTCTTCTAAAAATATTAAACATTATGCAAAGAATGGAGACAAACATGCTGGAGATATTTTCAAGCAAGTTGCAAGGAGAAAAGCCGAACATATTAATGTTCATTTCACTCAGCAGGTAGCATTTCTAATACGCTAAAAGCTTCATACAGATTCTATACCTGTTTGCCCTAAGAACTGTGGGAATTGTAACTGAGTAAGGATGCTGTTTAGCGATCCCTATCCCCCCAATACTACAGTTCTCAATGTTTCCTGGAGGAAACCAAACCATTTAAGGTTGTAGATATGCCAACACGCTTGTGTTCTACAAAGATTTTGTTCAAAGAACAGAAGAGGAACTGTTTTCTGAAATCCAGCTTTACCCACTGAATTGCCCTTTCAAGCCAATCCCTGCATCCATATGTTAGCTTACCCAATAGTCAAGCTCTTACTATTGGTTCTTACCAAGTCCTACCTACCGCAAGACAACAACATCGCTGATGAAACACATATACAAGTAGAGGTCATCTCCACCATTCATATCAGGCTTTTGGTTATTTATGTGGCTTTCCAGTGCCCTTTTCATAAATATTATTAGGAAAGATTCTCGCTGCCTCTTTGTAGATTCCCAGAAATGCTTTCACGGCAGAATCATGCCCACTCTCTGTAGACTCACACGGGTTTTCTTCCTGGATTCCCAACTGTGGAGCTGCCACGGTGGAATCAATATTCAGAGGACTGCCTAAGTTCTTCTCTCGTGTATTTTCTTGTGAACGGCAATATAGGAACTCTGACTGAAGCATTTGCCACATTCAGGACACATATAAGGCTTTTCTCCAGTATGGATCCTACAGTGCACAGTATGAGCTGATTTGTGAGTAAAGTTCTTTCCACATTCAAGACACGAATAGGGCTTTTCTCCAGTGTGGATTCTCCTGTGACTAATGATGGTGGATAGGAGGCGGAAATTCTTCCCACATTCTAAGCACTTGTGGGGTTTCTCTCCCGTGTGGATTCTTTGGTGAAGATGGAGGGAAGCTTTTTCGCTGAATCTTTTCTCACATGTAACACACAAATAGGGTTTCTCTCCACTGTGACTTCTTTGATGGGAAAGGAGGTGTGAATTCTGGCTAAAGTTCTTCCCACACACTGTGCATTTGTAAGGTTTCTCTCCTGTGTGAGTTCTCAGGTGCCTAATGACATTCGATGTTTGAGAGAAACTTCTTCCGCACTGAGGACACGGATACGGCTTCTCTCCTGTGTGGGTTCTCTGATGTTTGACAAGATCCGCATTCCGAGACATAGTTTTACCACATTCAGCACACTTCACAAGATTCTCCACTGTGTGGCTTCGCTCATGTCGCCTCAGGTAATGCTTCTGACTGAAACACTTCCCACATTCTTTGCAAGTATAAGGTGTTTTGTTTGTGCAGTTTTTCTGAAGTTGGTCAGTTGGTCTGTTCTGTCGATCGGTTTTACAAGACAGGCGCAGAACGATGTCTTCACATTTTCCCAAAAGTGTTTTGCCAGGAGAATATTTCACTTGTCGCCTTGTGAGTGATTGTTTGGCTTGCTTTTTGAACTTGCACCCATTCTCTGCAGCATCACTGGGATCAGAAACTGGACGAAGATTCCCTAGGGGCCTTGCTTCAGCATCATTTACAATACCAACTTTGTTCACTAGGACAGAAAAGAGACAGCAGACATGATTACCTGCCTAAATATATCCGTATCAAGGGCCATTTCATTCATGCATGTACCCTGCTTCGGGGATCAGTGCGTGATTACTGAATTCCTTTTACAGGAAGCGGAGCATGTGAACCAACTCCAATTAAAAAACACTGTGTTTCGGGTCCAGAGCTATGATGGTTCATTGATTCATACAAGCTGTCACTTAATGTTACAATAAACGATGAGTAAATGTTCCCTATTTTGTTTCTTTTTATATTTGTTGATATTAATCAATGGTTTTTCTAATCTTTACTGTCGGTTTTGTAGAGATTTGTTTGTATGACACACATATTGAAAGCTTTTATATGTAATTAATACTATGCCTAGAAGGAGCTTGAGCCCTTGGCAAAAGAAGGATAAAGTTTCTTTATTACTATAGATATCTCCTCAATGGGCCCAAAGTGTTAAGAAATGGCTCTGTCCAGGCAACTATCAGGGCTTGAAGGAGGGATTTTGACAGGGTTCTCCATGATGTTCTGATGTGTAAACTGAAGGACTGCGGACTGGACTCTGGGATAGTTAGTGGATAGGGAACCGGATGGAGAACTTCACCCAAAGAGTCGTTGTCAATGGCATTTCATCTGATTGGAGGGAGACGTTCAGACGGGACACATGTACTGGATGCACGATACACTTCTGGGTAGCAGTGTGTGTGAACAAGATCTTGGGGCACAGGTGGACTGTAAGCTAAATATGAGCAGTCAGTGTGATGCAGCAGTAAAGAAAGCTAACGCAGTCTTCGGGTGTTATCAACAGAGGTATAACATCCAAATCACAAGATGCCATAGTCCCGCTGTACACTACATGGGTCAGGCCGCACCTGGAGAACTGTGTGCAGTTCTGGAGGCCTCACTTCAAAAAGGATGTGGACAGAACGGAGCAGGTACAGAGGAGAGTGACAAGGATGACTGGGGGCCTGGAGACCAAGCCCTGTGAGGAAAGGCTGAGGGACTTGGGAAGGTTCCGTCTGGAGAAGAGGAGGTTGAGGGGGGGGGGCATGATTGTTCTCTTTAAGTATTTGAAGAGCTGTCACTTAGAGAAGGGCAGGGAGCTGTTCCTATTGGCAACAGAGGACAGGACTTGCAATTATGGTTTTAAATTAAGGGCAGGAAGTACCGGCTGGATCTTAGCGAAAACATTTTGACAGTAAGAGTTGTTCGACTGTGGAGGTGGTGAGCTCCCCCTCACTGGCAGTCTTTATGCAGTGGCTGGACAAACACTTGTCAGGGCTGCTCTAGGCTGATCCTGCATTGAGCAGGGGGTTGGCCTAGATGGCCTGTATGGCCCCTTCCAACTCTGTGATTCTATGATGCTATGATTCATGTTATCCTTCTCCTGGTCACAATTGCTAGTTCTTCCTAGAGAAGTATTTCCAGGACCATATCATAAAAATCATAAATTAATTTTATTTTACTGGAGGGTGGAGTTGTCAACAGAAAATGGAACCATACCCTGGAGCTCCTGGGCTTGGACCTTCTAATGTTGAACTGTCCCGCTGCCCACACTCACAGGTGAAGAACTAAGGTGCTGTCATGCCCCACCCATCCCTCTGGGGGTGCACCTCCCTCCACCGTTGTCTTGGCTGGGTCTGGTAGCGGCGAGAGGTCTGAGACAGGGGAGGGGAGGGATTTCATCACCACCTTCCTCCCCCTCCCAACCAGGTCTTCCTTCCACAGCCTCGGAGTACCCAGCTCTTCTCCTCCCGGACTCAACAGCTCCCTTTTATCCTCCTCCGGTCCCTCAAGCCCCTCCCCCCTTAGTGCTACTACTGGTCACCTCAGCCTGTCTATCAGTTAACCTCTTCCCAGTGTGGCTGGGTAGGGTCAACCCCATCCCTTCCTGATCTGCGCCAGCCCAGCTGCCAGCGTTCCATCGCGGAAGCCAGGCTGGCTGCGTGTGAAGCCTGGCTTCTGGTGCCCCATACACTGCTACCTGCCCGGTCCAGGCCAAAGGTTGCTCCTGGGCTTTAGGGCTGCGTGTTGACCCTGCCAGAGCTCCAGAACCTGCGGTGAACAAGTCGTACCTGGCCTGATGTGGGTCCCATCTTTGTGCCCGCCCCGGCATCGCCTTTGTGGGAGGTGACTTTCGAGGGGTGTCCGGCAGCTCCGTCCCACTTCACCCTGCCCCCACAACGTCTCCAGGGAAGCCATGGAGTGGGGGAGACCTGTCGTCACGGCTCGAGCCCAGTGAGCCTGTGGCCCTGCCCCTCTCTGTCCTGGCGTCGAGGAGGATGGGTGAGTCCAGGCCCGGACAGGTGCTAAGTATGTTATAAAAGCCACAAGAGCTATGCGCTTTATGATCATTCTTTCAATAGGACAGTATGTGCGACAATTAGAAAAAGGCGCTAGAACTATAAACGTGGCATTTTATTTTTAGATATTTCTGACCCGATTGGGTTTGATCCTCACCTCCTTTAGCATCCTTTGGCTCATCCGCTTCATCAGAACTTTGGCAACTCTGGGTACAGGCCCGTAATCTCTGTTTCATCCAGAAGAGCATGGCAATGTAAGGAACTGCGAATAAAAGAGATATTACAGTTAAAATCCTGGAGCTGAGGAAGATGCCCAGATGACCAACTCCACTCCACAAAGAGTAAGGGCGATTCTAGACTGGCTTTTCCCTCCGTTGTTTTACCAAACCCACCTTGGAACAGAAATTCCCCTCTGCACTGCAGGCTGCTTTCATTTGATCGTCGGAATTTATTGTACCCTGTGCACTGCAGGCCGCTTTGGCTTTCTCTGACCATCGGGTTTTATGGTCCCTTCTGCACAGATTTATGGCCATTCAGGGGTGACTTTGCAGTCAGTACGGCGTTGCCCCAGGGTATTTGAATGTGGTTCTGAGCAGCACCTTTTCCTCAGTGTTGAGAAAACGTGGAGCCAATGCCAGATGCAGAATCACCCTAAGACCTGCCAGAATTGTTCATGCAGATCAGATGAGCTAACCAAAAGTTGCCAAGATAGACAGCAAGGGCGCAACCCAGAGCATACTTACTTGGAAGTAAGCCTCATTGAGATTAAACATGGTTAGCATTAGGCCTGACCTAGGTAGCCCAGGCTAGCTCAATCTTGCGAGATCTTGGAAGCTAAACCAGGTCAGCCCTGGTTAGTATGCAGATTTCGAGATCTTGGAAGCTAAGCCAGGTCAGCCCTGGTTAGTACGCGGATGGGAGACCACCAAGGAAGCCCAGGGCTGCTACACACAGGCAGGCAATGGCAAACCGCCTCTGAACATCTCTTGCTTTGGAAAGGGGTTCTTTTGCCGTAAATCAGCTGTGACTCGATGGCACTTTCTGCCACCAGCATTAGGCTGCACGGTGTGAAAGAAGTAATTTTAGACGGCCACATCTCCCATCCAACAGATTCTTTTTTTTTTTTCCCTGCTGGGAGCAAGAGACGCATCAGTTGCTCTGGGAGGAGCCAAGAGAAAGAGGCTTCCCCAGAAGGAGATCTTGAGGGTGTAATAGAAGAGGTAAATTCGGTGCCACATTGTCACACATGCAATATATTCTGGTTATCGCCACAAATGGAGAAGTACTGATGAGCAGACTATTGGGTGATTAAAGGCCCATTGTACAATTCCCATACCCAGATGTGGCTGTCAGGCTGAAAGAGGTTGCCCACCTCTGCTGAAGCATCATGCTTGAGCATCTTGAACAGAGAGAAGTGCAATCCATGGTTGGGCCCTCTAAGAACCATTGGTGGCCCCTGACTTCTATGAAGATGATTCTCTCTTTAAACAGCCAAGTTTCAAAGCACACCATGCAGTGTTGTGTACACTGGAATCCCTCCTCCTCCTCACCTAAAGCCGTCTATCCATTTACTGTCTTAAGCAGCCTGCATTCCTATTATCATCACAAGTTAAAAGCTAACTTATCTGATCCTCTATTTATTTTGCCCATAACATTCACTGTTGAATATATTACAAATATTCTCTTCCTTCCCTATTCCTCTTATGAATTGTTTTATGTATTATTCTGATTTTTCCAACCGCTTCCCAAGCTTGGTCAAGTTTGCCACATGAAAATTTACACAGCAAGTCCTTCAGTTTAATTAACAGGCTCAAGATCTGCTCATGGGTGCCCAGTGGCCCCTTAACTAAGCAGGATCTAGAACCCCAGTACAACAGGCTGTGTTGCTATTACTATTTTTCTACTAGAACAAAGTTTGAGTCCATTGCCACCTTTAAGACCAACAAGTTTAATTCTGGGTATAAGCTTTCGTGTGTGCGCACACTTCTTCAGATACCTCATTCCATGCGGCTTAATGTGGTGCCTTCCATGAAGGTAGATTCAGATAAGTAGTCATGTTGGTCCTAGTACCCAGAATTAAACTTGTTGGTTTTAAGTGTGCCACTGGACTCAAATTTTGTTGTTGCTTCAGACCAACACAGCTATCGACCTGAATATAATTTTTCTACTATTCTACTATATATATATAAAAATTACTATCTTACTGCTACTACTATTATGTTATTATTACTATTTTATGGCTATTAAGAGCATTTTAAGACCTTGATTATTATTTTTTAACTAACTAGCACAGACTTCTCCCCCAACTAAAAAATTTTCCACTGCAACCACATTCTTGATTATGTACCTTGCAGGTGGAAGAGCCAGTGAATGTGACAACCAAATCCACAGGCCAAACTCTTGTTCCAGAAGAGAGAACTTAGTCTTCTCTACAAAGTCTCCAAGCCGGTTCCACTTTCACTTTCACTCTACTTGGAGGTCCTCTCTGGCCAGCAATGGGTAAGCAAAGACCACACCCGGTTGTGCTTGCTTCAACAGCCCATATACTAAAATTGGACCACAGCCAGTTGTCATCCAAACTATTAAGTACAGCATGATTCCAGAAGGAATGACTTGGACTCCAGCTGGACTATACTAGCAAGCATCTTTGCTTCTTCAAGCTGCACCCAGCTGGGTCTTCAGACTTAGAAAGAACAAAACAGGACCACCATATTGCAAGTGTGGGGAAGATACCATTTTAAATGTTTCCAAAATTAAATGAATACACTCTCTAGAAGAAAACTAGCACAGCAGAGAGAGTAAGATTCTAGTCCAACTCATTTCATGCTGTGACAATTTTCCCCCCTGGAAGGGAATGTCTTTAACATAGGGGAGAATTTGAACACAGTCTCATTCCCCCTGCAAGTGGTATAGTCCCTTTTTGCAACTTGTTGCTGGCACATGAATTTTGTGGTTTAAACAGTTGGCATAGATATGCTATGCGATTTGATGGTGTGTTTGGAGTGACCCATTACGAAAACCTTGAGGATCCATGAGGATCCGTGCTTCAGGACCATGTTTTGGCTTCATGGTGTTGCCACAAAGCTGTGGATCCATGAATTCTGTGGTTCAAGCTGTGCCCGTGGACATGATATGTGACTTGATGGTGTGCTCATGGTGACCCAAAGCAGAAGCCCTGAGGATCCATGAGGATCCGTGCTCTAGAACCGTGTTTTTGCAGAATGGTGTTGCCACGAAGCTGTGGATCCATGATTTTTGTGGTACTAGCTGTTGCCATGGACATGTTATGTGATTTGATGTTGTGTTTGCGGTGACCCAACGCAGAAACCCTGAGGATCCATGAGGATCCGTGCTCTAGAACCGTGTTTTTGCAGAATGGTGTTGCCAGAAAGCTGTGGATCCATGATTTTTGTGGTACTAGTTGTTGCCATGGACATGTTATGTAATCTGATGTTGTCTTTGGGGTGACCCATTGGAAAACCCCCGCAGATCCTTGAGGATTCGTGCTTCAGAACCATGTTGTGGCTTCATGGTGTTGCCACGAAGCTGTGGAGCCATGACTTTTGTGGTGCAAGCTGTGGCGGTCGATGTGTTATGTGATTTGATGGTGTGTTTGGAGTGACCCATTATGAAAACCTTGAGGATCCATGAGGATCCGTGTTCTAGAACCGTGTTTTTGTAGAATGGTGTTGCCACGAAGCTGTGGAGCCATGACTTTTGTGGTGCAAGCTGTGGCGGTCGATGTGTTATGTGATTTGATGGTGTGTTTGGAGTGACCCATTATGAAAACCTTGAGGATCCATGAGGATCCGTGTTCTAGAACCGTGTTTTTGTAGAATGGTGTTGCCACGAAGCTGTGGAGCCATGACTTTTGTGGTGCAAGCTGTGGCGGTCGATGTGTTATGTGATTTGATGGTGTGTTTGGAGTGACCCATTATGAAAACCTTGAGGATCCATGAGGATCCGTGTTCTAGAACCGTGTTTTTGTAGAATGGTGTTGCCACGAAGCTGTGGAGCCATGACTTTTGTGGTGCAAGCTGTGGCGGTCGATGTGTTATGTGATTTGATGGTGTGTTTGGAGTGACCCATTATGAAAACCTTGAGGATCCATGAGGATCCGTGTTCTAGAACCGTGTTTTTGTAGAATGGTGTTGCCACGAAGCTGTGGAGCCATGACTTTTGTGGTGCAAGCTGTGGCGGTCGATGTGTTATGTGATTTGATGGTGTGTTTGGAGTGACCCATTATGAAAACCTTGAGGATCCATGAGGATCCGTGTTCTAGAACCGTGTTTTTGTAGAATGGTGTTGCCACGAAGCTGTGGAGCCATGACTTTTGTGGTGCAAGCTGTGGCGGTCGATGTGTTATGTGATTTGATGGTGTGTTTGGAGTGACCCATTATGAAAACCTTGAGGATCCATGAGGATCCGTGTTCTAGAACCGTGTTTTTGTAGAATGGTGTTGCCACGAAGCTGTGGAGCCATGACTTTTGTGGTGCAAGCTGTGGCGGTCGATGTGTTATGTGATTTGATGGTGTGTTTGGAGTGACCCATTATGAAAACCTTGAGGATCCATGAGGATCCGTGTTCTAGAACCGTGTTTTTGTAGAATGGTGTTGCCACGAAGCTGTGGAGCCATGACTTTTGTGGTGCAAGCTGTGGCGGTCGATGTGTTATGTGATTTGATGGTGTGTTTGGAGTGACCCATTATGAAAACCTTGAGGATCCATGAGGATCCGTGTTCTAGAACCGTGTTTTTGTAGAATGGTGTTGCCACGAAGCTGTGGAGCCATGACTTTTGTGGTGCAAGCTGTGGCGGTCGATGTGTTATGTGATTTGATGGTGTTTTGGGGGTGACCCAATTGAAAAACCCTGAGGATCCATGAGGATCCGTGCTTTGGAACCATGTTTTTGCAGTTCTGTGGTGCCACAAATTCGTGGGGGCATGGTTTTTGTAGTGCTTCTTATAATCTAAGACATGGTCTACAGTATGGTGTTGGTTTTATTTCATTTTAGTATAGAAATCATATGAATTGATGAGGATCCGTGCTTTGTAATCATGTTTTTGCGCTGTTGTGGTGCCACGAATCTGTGGATGTGTGATTTTTGTGGTGCCCCCTATAGACTAACACATGGCCTACAATGTAACAATCATATGAATTCATGAGGATCCATGTAGATCCGACTTTTACCTTTTCCCCTTAATTTGTGCTAAGCAGCTATGTGGGAGGTTGCAGGGATAGTGCTATGAAATGGCTCAACTATGACTGGGTCATCTTGCCTAGAACCTAATAGTGTGTTGCCAACCTCCAGGTGGAGCTTGGAGACCTCCAGGAATTTTAACCGATCTCCAGACTAGAGAGAGGAGTTCCCCTGGAGGAAATGGCTGCTTTGGAAAATGAAGTCTATGGCACTAGAACCTGGTGACGTTCCTTCCACCTACAAACCCCACCCTATCCAGGCTAGGCTACACTCCCAAATCTCCAGGAATTTCCCAACCCAGAGCTGGCAACTATATTAGGAAAGGAAGTAAGTGGTTGATCGTACCTTCATCAAAACCCACTTTCAAGGGCTACAAGCTGACCCCCAAAATTTAGTTTATTATTCCTCCTCCTTTTAACAACAACATTGATAAATCAATTAAGTTTACATACATATGCATATGACCACCATTTCCATGTAAAAGTCTGAGACCTGTGCAGATTTCTTATTAGGCTACCTTGTGTATATCCCTTTTTCAAATGAAAAGAAAAATCAAAGGGGGTGTAAAATGTCAAAGCTGACAAATAGAAGGTGGCCATTCTTCTTCTTCGACTAAAGCGCAGAGTGGTAGGCTGCTGATTGGGGTTTGAGAGAGGAGTAAGGATCAAAAAATATGAAAGAATAAGCAAGTTGATTGGCCACTTGCTCACTTTTTCCCCCTTGGTAAATATAATAATCAGGGCTTTTCTTGTTGAAAAAGCCCAGCAGGAACTCATTAGCATAATAGGCCACACCCAACAGCAGAAACCTATTAGCATATTAGGCCATACCCCGACACCACAGCTCATTCACATATTAGGCCACACCCCCATGCCTTCCCTGGGCAAGCCGGCCCTTGGACAGGCCAGGGAAGGCATGGAGAGGCATTTCAATATCTAACCGATCCTTCCAGAGCCCCCCCAGAGGTTTTGGCTGTAGTGGGCGTGGCCAACTCTGAAGCCAGCCGGAACTCCGTTCCTGTGCGTTCCTGCCCAAAAATAGCCCTGATAATAATAAGAACCAAAGTAGTTCCAAAAATAAATAGCCTGGTTGGTTAAAATTTGTCCCTCCCACAATTAAAATTGAACTCTGACAACCAACAAAAACTTTAGGTCACTCGATCAATTAGAGCTTTTAGCCTTACTTAAAGTATGGCAGATGGACATCCAGTTATGTTGACTTCCTGACCTAGAGACTCAATTCATATACAACTCTCTGCGTTCCGCAGCTCATACATCAAATTCTGTAAGACCAGAAATGTTTTCATGGATCAGTGCTTCACTGATTATGTTTAAAAATGGGGAACAGGGCAGTATAAAACCACGAGGCTGATGGAGGCCATCGAACAGCCTGACCAGTCAAGAGGAAAAGGAAAGAATCTTGTGCAGCCGTGATGTCACACAAAGCACCTCTTGTGACCTAACTTGTTGTAGCAGCGGTCATTTGGTATTCAGTGCTGTTTTCCATCGATCCCCAAGAGGATCGAGTAGCAGTAGTGGTGGGCAAACAGAATAAAGTGAGGATAGAACGAACCCAAGAACTTCATTCGTTCTAACGGTTCATCCTTTAGAAAAACTCTGTGTTCAGCAGACCCAACCATAAAGATGGGATGGGGCACAGAAATGAAAGTTCTCCTGATAGTTCTTGGTGAGTTGGAACATTTAGGTCAAGCACAGCCAAGTCATCCAGTCCCCATTTTCCCTCTTTGGAAAATCAGGATGATTGGTATGGTACTTCAGAGCTGGGAAAGAAAGAGCTGCTGCCCCGTTTAGTGTGCTATAGGTGTACCTCCAGGATTTAGGCATGGATGAAAGTTACATCTGCCATCTCTGTTGTTGTCCATTATTTTAATCATCTTAAAGTTTAGGGTTTTTTCGTGGTCGTAAAACAATCAGAACAAAAATTCCAGTCTACCATCTGGGAGGGATAAGCAAGAGAAGTCTTTTTTGTTTCGTTCAGCATTCCCTCAGAGATCCCTGCTTCCTAATCAATGTTTTAATTGCTGTTTTTATGTATTGTAACTGCTGTTTTTATGTCTTGTACATATTTTAACTCTGTTGGTCTTAAGCAATTTTAAAAAAGTTTGAGCCCAGTGGCACCTTTAAGACCAACAAAGTTTAATTCTGGGTATAAGCTTTCGTGCAAGCTTACACCCAGAATTAAACTTTGTTGGTCTTAAAGGTGCCACTGGATTCATACTTTGTTCTATAGTTTAACTGTGTTTTTAATTGCTTTTATTGGGGGGGATGATTTTAATGGTTTTAAAATGTGATTTTATAATGTATGTTTTAAATTGTTAGCCGCTTTGGTGACCCTTGTCAGGGATGAAAGGTAGGATAAAAATGTTGTAAATGATAGCGAAATAATATGCAGTAGGAGGGATTTCAAGAGCTCAGTGCCATTGTAGAGTAATGCATAGCTCAGTTGCTCAGTAATGTGAAACTATCCTTAACACTTCAGCGCCTACACAGTTCAAGAAGACTTACTTTCTAGCTAGAAAATTGCTGTCCAAGAGTCACAATAAAATTAGTAAAAAAAACAAAAAACCACTCCAAGGGAGGAACAAAACCTCCAGGGAAGTGTCAACAAGAGCTTTATTCAGCCTTGTAAACTTAATTTACTTGCTTGAACTGTAGCTCACTCCTTTGCCTCTTATTGGGTTTGCACAGTATTCTCAAAATGGCCACTCGCTACTGACACACTGCTTCAAGAATCCTCACTGGCGGGACTGCCACTCTCAGAGGCCGAGTACGAGTACTTTTTCCAGGCTCTCACCACTCATCAAGTCCTCCATGCTGTTTGCCTCAGAAGAGCCATATTGGGCTGCCACGATCCCGCCATCCAAGCCCTGGATCGGTATGAGAACCATGGTGTCATCCCTGACGGTAAAGCCAATCACACCAGTCAGACTGGAAAGGCAGTGATTGGGGGGGGAGGGCAGGTGAGAGAATTGTTTGGCATTTGGGACAGATCTTTTTTAAAAAAGAAAGCCCGCCAGATCTCTTCACCATTAGAGGCTAATTTTTTTGAGGGGAAATTAGACATATTGGAAATTTTTCACAGAAAGCATGACGCGTTTTGGTAAGGTTGAGGAAATTTCCACACATTCGTAGCTGTCAAGGCTCTCCCGCAGCAATGGTGCCTGTCTCATTAATGTTTCCAAGACACTGAGGGTACACACAGCCGCACTTGTTCCTGTTCTGTTCCTCCACTTGCCCTTCTCTTCTCTCACTTGCTATAGAACAAAAATAACTTCTTTCTTACAGCAGAAGGGCCCACAGGAGGTGGGTAAAGGGACCAATGGAGCATAGGGTTGCCAGGTCTGGTTTGGAAAATACCTGGAGACTCTGGGGCTGGATCCAGGAGAGGGTGGGGTTTGGGGAGGGGAGGGGTTGCCAAATGTGCCCGGGGGCGTCATCCCAGTAGGGTTGCCAAATGGGCCCGGGGGGCGGGGAATCCCCCGCTTCGGAGGAACACCGCCCCCGAAGCTGCGTCACCAGAGGTGACGCAGCCACATTGCTGACATTGGGGGCGTGGCTGAGCTCATCAAGGGGGGAAACCATATGGTTTTCCCCCCAACGCGCTCGGCCACGGCCCCAACGTCAGCAACGTCGTACGTCACTTCCAGTGACATGCTGCCGGCGCGCGCACGCACGCATCCATGAAGACCTCCCAGACGCCGGCAAGGCTCCCCCGCTCCGAGGGGTAAGTCAAGTTGGCAACCCTACTCAGCAGGGTACAGTGCCATAGAGTCCACCCTTTAAAGGAGCCATTTTCTCCAGGGGAGCTGCTTTCTGTCAGCTGGAGATCAGTTGTAAAAGAGGGAGATCCCCAGGCCCCACCTGGAGGCTGGCAACCCTAAGGGAGCAGCAGGAAAGGCGAGTCAGAGCCCTCCTCTGCCTTGGAGATGTTAAAGAGATATGTGTCATCTCTGTGCAGAAAGATAATAAGGAATATCAGCACAGCCAGCCTTTCATTAGGTTCTGTTCACACGAACAAACCAAATGTAATTGGGGAGGCAGTGGTCCTGGCAGGAGCACGTTAAGTGAAGTCATACGAAGCTGTCTCAAAGTAGTTCTTGCCACTTCTTACAGTAAAGGTGCCATATTGGGTACAGTTGATACACTGGGAAGAACGAAAGTGGATCTTGGTTTTGCATTTTACACCACGTGCACTTTAGGAGCAGGGATATTACTTCTCTTTTTAAAAGTACATATTCCTGTTCACAATATGAGCCACAAAACATTCCAGCCTTAAAGTTCCTTTGTTTAATGGAAGCAACCGCTTGTATAAACTGGGATGACGAAATAATTATTTCTCACCAGAGTTTCCTACACTTCGAAGTGAGCTTTGTAACAGCAACAACAAAAATTGCTTCCCAGAACAAAGTCAAGCATTTTATGAAATCTCTGTGCCTCTGCAGTCTAATTACAATAAGCCTCACAAAGCCTGAATGATTTTTGCAACACTTTAGCTATTCCACTAATTAATTAAACTGTATTTTCCCATGCCTGCTTGGCCACAGACCTTTTTGCTAAATTTAAATTTAAACTTACAGAGTGTGATGATAAATCTACTTCCCAGTTAAAATGTTTGGCATGCTTGTGTTTGCTTACAGAATACATTCATCAAATATGGGCTGAAAGCAACATTTTGAAAAACTCTACTACAGTGTTTTAGGCATTAGGGTTGCCAGGCTGCAGACTGGAGACCTGCACTGTGCCTTTAAAGTAGTTACACAGCTGCAGTTTCTTTGGTTGTTTCCCTCCCATGGCCTGTCCTCTTCCTCATCGAGAATCCTGCTTATGGGGGGAGAGACCCTGGATCATGGGAGGAAAAGATGGGAAAGCCAAAGTTGCTCCATCTCTTATTGCACTGTAGGGTTTAATGGCAGAGTGCTGATTTCGAGGTGGCAGCCTGACAGTCCTTCTTGGCACTACATCCATCATTGTTCTAGGAGGAGAAGGGGGTGGAAAAGCCTCTTCTGGATTCTTGGCACGCGCTATGTCGGCACTCTGGGGATTATAGGGATGGTATAGCAGAGTGGCTCCGTCAAGAGACTAATTTAAGTATTCAGCAGGCATCTACCGAGTGCCCTTTTTCTAAACCTCAGCCTCTCTCTTAGGGTGGATATGCTCCGACTTCCCAGACAATACCTCCTTCCCAAGTTTTTGCGATTTCACTCTATATCGCTGCATCGTGAAGAAGTATTTTACCAAGGTGAGGAAAATGGCAGTAAGACAAGCTCTGGAAAGTGTAATTGTCAGAAAGCATGGCCTAAGGAAAGAAAGAAGGAGAGAAGCAGCGCTTGGTTAAGGGAGCTCAGCTGCAGAGGGAGAAAAGAAAAGCGTTACAAATCTCAGGCTGATTTCGCACTAGAGCTGCCTCGCTGCTGCGCCGCCATTTGCCCCGGTTCTATTGGTCAATTTCACACCCGAAGCCGCGCGGCTGATTTTGACCTGCGGCTTCGCCCGATTTCCTCCGCAGTTCCGTTGATCCTCAAAAAACAGCGAGGCAGCTCTAGTGCGAAATCAGCCTATGTGAAACATATGACTTGGGTAGTAAAATCCCCCTCTGTTTGGAGAAGTGAGGACGAAGGTGTGTCGACAAGAGGAAACTCGCTTCTCCCCTTCTGTGTGTTTCTCTCCACCCACCCCCCAGTCAACGCTTTTTCAACAAATGGGTCACCAGAAACATAGAGCTAGAAGGGACCCACGGGTCATTTAGTCCAACCCACCGCACAAAGCAGGAAATTCACAGCTCCCTCCCTCCCCGGTGACTCCTGCTCTATGCCCACTTATAGCATCAAGTGGGAGACACCAGTCCCAGTTCTTTTATCTCTTTCACCTACAACCATTAAAACAGCCGACTTAGTCTGGGGGTGGCCCCCATAAGGCTTACAGAGTTCTCACGTGCTCTCCAGCATTCCCTCTCATCCTCACCTTGTATCACTGCCAATGTTACTTGAGGTTCTACAAACACCCTCTACATGGCTCAGCTTCAGGAGGGGGTTGCCAGATAACAGTGTTTAAAATTTCCTAACAATCGAAGAGATTCACAATCTGACTTCTCTTGCTCATTTCCCCCTCCTCCTTCCATTGGCCCCCCCTCCTCGAACTGCTTGGTGCTGCAGCTGAGGGACACATTTGCCAAAGGGGAGATCATCCTCGATAGTGTTCGAAATGGTACTACAGGCTGATCACTAGAGAGGGGACTGCACATAACATGCGTTTTCTAAAACTTGCCACTTGTCCTCTGCATATACACACACACACACCCCAGTTTGGTTACAGGTATGGTTCTTTTGATCTTAAAACTCAGTGGGCAAGAGGGGGCATTTGCAGGTGAGAGTCAGTGGGCCCTGGAAGTAATAAACACCCTTCACCTATTCTCCCCTGACATAAGAACATAAGAGACGCCAATGTTGGATCAGGCCAAAGGCCCATCCAGTCCAACACTCTGTGTCACACAGTGGCCAGAAATACCAGTGCCTTCAGGAGGTCCACCAGTGGGGCCAGGACATTAGAAGCCCTCCCACTGTTGACCCCCCCCCCCAAGCACCAAGAAGACAAAGTATCACTTGCCCCAGAGCCCCTATCTATACCTTGTGGCTAATAGCCACTGATGGACCTCTGCTCCATATGCTTATCTAATTCCCTTTTGAAGCCGTCCATGCCTGTAGCCGCCACCACTTCCTGTGGCAGTGAATTCCATGTGTTAATCACTCTTTGGGTGAAGAAGTACTTCCTTTTATCCGTTCTAACCCGACCGCTCTGCAGTTTCATGGAGTGCCCACGAGTTTTTGTATTGTGAGAAAGGGAGAAAAGTACCTCTTTCTCTGACAATTCCCTCCTGCCCCCTATATAGGGTTATCAACCTCCAGGTGGTAGCGGGACATCTCCTGGGTTTAAAACTGATCTCCAAGCAACAGAGATCAGTTTGCCTGGAGAAAATGGCCGCCTTGGAAGGTGGACTCTATGGCATTAGATCCCACTGAAATCCCTCTCCTCCCCAAACCTCCTCAGGCTTCACCCTCCAAAATCACCAGGTTTTTCCCAACCTGGAGCTGGCCCCACATTAGCATCAAAGGGGATTAATGCCTAATAGTAAGTACAGGCTAGCAAGAAGACTATGCTTGGCCCTGGCCCTCCAACCAAGAAGTAAACCATACAACAGAACACGTGATCTAAATAGGGTTGCCAACTCCAGGTTCAGAAATACCTGTAGATTCAAGGGCAGAGCCCTGGGAGAGTGGGAGGGATCTTGGTAGGGTTTAATGCTATGCAATCCACCTTCCAAAACAGCCATTTTCTCCAGGAGAAGGTAGGGCCTGGGATTCTCACAGAATTACAACTGATCTTCATACAACAGAAATTAATTCCTTGGAGGAAGTGGCAGATTTGGACTCTGCAGTGTAGTATTGAGACGGGGGTGGATGGGTTGAAGTCCTACAGTGACCTCTTATTCTAGGGTTGCCAGGTCCCCTCGCCGCACTGGCGGGCAGATTTGGGGGGTGTCCCAGGACGTTCCTAACATGATGATGTCATCCAGAAGTGACGGCATCGTGCTGGCATCAAGAACCAAAACGGTGAGAAGAAAGTCTAGTGAAGGGCCAGTATTAAAATCCTAGTTAAAACTTATACAAAAATACAAGTATTTATTAGAAAGACAGTTAAAAACATACATAGGGCCCAATGAAAGCCTCGTAAAAAAGTATAGCCTAAACACAAGGGCCAATACACATGTCCTGACGCGCTTCTGCCCTATTGGGGCCTTCTTCAGAGGTCAAACAATATTGAGGTACACATAACGTAAATGCACATTGCAATAAGATAACCAATAAGTGAATATTGGACCAGGAAGAGGAAGGTTAAGCAGCAAAGATCTAAAGACACCTGAGGAAGATGTTTGTGAGGCCTCAAAAAGTGAAAGTCGTGTGTCTGGTGCCAAATGCACAGTTGCTGAATTAGAACACCTTCCAATTTAGGTCCAAAAAGCACCTGTGTGGCTATCGAAGTCAGAGCTAGAGTGTCCTCAAGCAAATAGCAATCAGGTTTGTTTCCCCCTCCCTGTGTCTTACTGTCATCGTGCTGGCAACATCGCACAGTGAAGCTCTGTTCTGAGGGCGGAACTCTATGGTTTTAGGCCAAATTTACCATAGATTTTTGCCCTCAAACCAGAGCAACCCATGCAACACACTTCTGGGTGACATCATCGCATTGGGGATGTGGCTGTTTAGGGGGCCGGCCAGCTGGCCAGTGGCAGGCTGTAGCCCCAAAAACCAGGGGAACCCCCACGAGGACCCTGGGACAGGCAACCCTATCTTAATCCCACTGAACTCCCCTCCCCTCAGGCACTACTCCCCACAGGAATTTCTTAATCTGGAACTGGCAGCCCTGTGAGGAACATTCTGCCTTGGGATGAAATCAGTTTGCCCCCCCCCCTTTGAAAGGGCCAGGAGATCATACAGTTAACCCCACCAGAGAGTCACCTAGCTTCCAGATCACCTCAGAGCACTAAGCCAGAAAAATGTGCTGATCAGTTGCAGGGATCCGACATCTCTGCCTGAAGGACAAACTGGCTGAAAAGCACCAAGGAGGTATAGTCCTAATGCACCCAGCATAGTTACTCCCA